GCATATCTCAGTATATGTGCTCATACTGTGCCTTACATCCTAATTTATATAATATAACTAATATTGATTTATATTTTTATTATATTATGAATAATTTAATATTATTTAATCAGTGAGATATCCTAATATATATTAAATATATATTAGTGTCAGATTTATGGTATGACTAATGATATAATATCAAAAATATAAAATTATTGAATGAAATACGCCTGTGCTTAGGATTTCTATGATAGTAACGATATCTGGCACTTTTATTCTCAGGCTCACTCTATCATGATAACTGCAACATAACACGAAACTTGACGCATATATCTCGTTATAGATTACTCACTCGAAGCCATTTTGTTTATAGCCAGGGAGGTTAGATACTCTCACTGAAATAGAATAAGTGAAATTATAGTGGATAAAGGAGGAAGGCTCGTGAGGGAAGGTGAGCCGGAGTTTAGCTAATAACTAAATATCTCTCAGCTAGGTTTGAATAGATGGTCAAGCCGTTGGACTTATACGTCACTTAGTGTGATATATATATATAGAATAAATAATACGGCGGCCAGCAATGAACTCCATGACTATAGTGAGTGAGGCTCAATTATACTAATCAATATGGTGACCTTGCAAGGCACGTGTCTCTTTCCAGGCATTGCGTTTGTAGTGGAAGGGTATTATTATATACGTATATTAGCTGAGGTACATATAATATGTAGTAATATACTCAATATACTACTCAATATCACCATACTACTCAATGAATAATCTATATATATACTACATCAACTACACACACACGATTGCAAACACACACATCACTCACATTATATCAGACTCAAGTATATATATATCTACATCACTCAGCACTAACATATATAATATATATACTATATATATATTAATATAATTTATGTAATATCATATATTATTAATGTATATATTATATATATGACATTATCGTATCATAACATCCATACTAACATGACACACACACACACACACACACACCCCACACACACAATATGAATCACAATATATGATCTATCATATATTATATATATTATATAATATGAATATCTATTTTATATATATATATATATATATATATATGAATATCTCTATATATATATTATTATATATATATATGTATAATATCTATATAATAATATATATAATATATATGGTATAATATATACATCTATAAGTACTTATATATACTTAATAATA